AAAAATACAAAAAAAGTAGCCAGATGTGGTGGTGCACGCCTGTAATCCCAGATACTCGGGAGGCTGAGGTGGGAGAATGGCTTGAACCTGAGAGGCAAAGGTTGCAGTGAACCAAGATCACACCACTGCACTACAGCCTGGGCAACAGAGTGAGATCTGTCTTTAAAAAAATAAAAAGTATATTATCATTTGATGGGGGGATCAGGGACTCTTCAATAGGCAAAATTTCCCAAGCTGGCTGAATTGAGATCGCTGTAGGGGGCAGATTCAAACAGACTCATCATTAAGACCAACCGCTTCTTAGAGGCAGACACCACAAAGCCGTCTCGACAATTCTCTTTAATAAGCCTGCTAAACAGTGCGAATTATTTGAGGACAGAGAAAGCCTTTTTCCAGGAATGCTTCAAGCATGATGTGTTTCCTTCCCTGGCTTAATATGTATAATTTGCCTTCTGGAAAAGGAACCCAGAGACTCTGGCATGACTTAGGAAACAATAGACAATGTCACAATTTACCAAGCATAATCGTCTCCTGCAAGGATGAAGAAATCCATGTAGTGCAAGGACTTGAAGCCCAACAAGAGGACTTTGACCCATGGATTTCTTAGCAGATTTCGTTATAGTGGGTCCTGGGGTCAGATGGTCAAATGCCACAGGCACTCCCGGAATTGAGAAATAGGGAAAAAATGCCAGCACCACCCCTGTTTGCGCAGCTGCCCTGTTTCGCCAATTTCACAAGGGCAGAAGTAGGGAAAATCCATCCAGGCTAGAATAGAAAGATGTTTGCTCCTCCTCCTGCCAGCCAATCCCAACCAAGCCCTGAGTTCAGTGTCCTGGGTGTGCAAAGCTCCTTGCTAGGGGAGGGGAGGGCTTTAGGATATGACCTTCATGGCCAGGCACAGTGGCTCATACCTGTAATCCCAGCACTTTGGGAGGTCGAGGCGGGAGGATCACTTGAGGTCGGGAGTTCGAGACCAGGCTGGCCAACATGGTGAAACCCTGTCTCTATTAAAAATACAAAAATTAGTCGAATGTGCTGGCTCATACGTGTAATCCCCGCTACTTGGGAGGCCGAGGCATGAGAACTGCTTGAACCCGGGAGGCAGAGGTTGCAGTGAGCTGACATTGTGCCACTGCACTCCAGCCTGGGTGACAGAGCCAGACTCTGTCTCAAAAAAAAAGTAGGGGGAGATAAAGACCCTCATGGCTCATGGAACAGGCAATTCTCTTACCACTGTGGCCCCCAAGGAAGTGGCTGGGGCACTTCTCAAGTCTATCTTGGAGGCTTGGCTGGGAAGAAACAAACACCCCCAACTCCACCTGGTTGGATTTATAGGGATTCTTGCCCCACACCTGTTTAGATATTAACTCAGTCACGACCAGTCAAGGTAAACAGGCCAGGGCCAGGGCAGACAAGAGGACAGACAAGAGGACAGACATCTGCAGCCTGTGGCCACCCGTCACCCTCCCACCCACCATGGACATGCCCTGGCCCTTAGGGTGGATTCTGCTTCTGTTGGGAAGCCCCCTCACCCACGCTGAGCCTCTGTGAGTCTGGGGAATGGAGGGGGCTCAGCCGGTTTCCTGCACATCTGATGTCTGCGTGATTCCAGCTTGTGACTCCTGTTTGGTGTCACTTTCCCTACTCAAGTCCCTTAATGCCCCTGTGTTTGTCTACTGGCAGGTACATCCTGGTGACCCCCCGAGTCCTGAGGGTTGGCAGTCCGGAGAGCATTCACATTCAGGCCCACTCGGACTCCAGACAGCCCCTCACAAGGACCCTCAAGGTGAATCTCACAGTATGGGACTTCCCCATGAGGAAGACAGTGTTGTCAAGGAGCCAGGTCATTCTCTCACCAGGAAACAACTTTATGGACCAGGCATCTGTGACGGTGGGTGACAGGCTGGAATGTGTGACCACAAAGGGAGGCTCCGGGTCAGCAATAAAGGTAGAAAGGGGCAGACTCTGTGTCTGGAGAGTAGATGCAGGGCCCAAAGTACTTAACCGCTCCTTTAACGTACTATCCATTTAGAAGTCAAAAGTCCCTAAGCCTGGGCTCCAGGAAGCCTCCACTAGCCCGTTAGATGCCTCTCCGAGAACTATAAAAGGTGCCTTCTGTTGTTAGCTTGGGAAGCTGAGCATGGACTGGATTTCATCCTTCCTTTGGCTGGGTGCTCTCATTCAGTGAGCAACCTGCACAACTGCACATGGCAACCTAGCTCCCAAAGACAGAACCAGAAGACCCTCAGTCAATTGCTCCTCCCAGGATCTGTCCCAGGGCTTTACTCCCAGTCAGGGAGACCCCAGCAGAGCCTGAGGAGTATGGATGTCTCTCTCTGTCAGGTTCCCGAGAGCCTGGTGTACCCCCCAAAACCAGGGCAGCAATATGCCATCATCCGGGCAACTTGGGCACCCTCCTCGGGCTCCTCATTCATGGAGAAGATAGTGCTGGTGGCTCCTCATGCTGGCTACATCTTTATCCAGACAGACAAGACCCTCTACACCCCTGAGCACTTGGGTACAGCCCCGAGTCACTTGGCTTGGAGCAATCACTGGCTCTCATTCCCAGTCTTTCCCAATGTCTGAGATACTCCCATCCCCTAAAATCTTCTCCACCTCCCAAGATCTCTCTCTCTGCATAAGTGGCCCCCCACCACTGCCCAAGATCCAAACTCTCTCTCTCTCTGTCTTTCCCTTCCTCTACCCAATACTCAGAGTCCGCCTTCTCCCCTAGTTCACTACCGGGTGTTCACTGTTAACCACAAGATGGACCCTGTGACCAGGACATTCACTCTGGACATCAAGGTGGTCTTTCCCGATGGGGGGTGGTGGGGGTGGATCCTGGACACTGAGGTTACACGGCGTGCTGAAGCATGAGCCACAAGGGCCCTCCCAGAGGGCAGTCACCAGCCCCACCCCCAACCCCACAGAACCCGGAGGGAATCACCGTGATTAGCCGGAGTCTGAGAGCCAAGGACGGCTTCTTTTTCAGCTCCTTTCACCTCCCAGAGCTTGTCAGGTGCCCTTGTCAGATCTGGGAGCCCGAGGGGTGGCAAGGGAGGCTGTCATTCTCTGTCTCCATCTCTCCTAACTTTCTGTGCCTCAGTTTGGGGACCTGGACCATCGAAGCCAGCTACCAAAGTACACCCAAGCAGAAGTTCAAGGCTGCCTTTGATGTGAAGGAATATGGTGAGAAGGGTGTGGGTGGGGTGGGCAAGATGAATATGCCAGGGACGGGACTGGAAAGGAAAGGAGGTTTCAAGGGGAGCCTCCACTGTAAACCAGGGCCTGAGCTGGGTGCTAAGTGCTGGGTGCTGGTGTTCCAGCCTTTGGGGCTTGGCAGAGCCACCAAGGAAGGAGCAGGACTGGGAGGAGATGAGGGAGCAGGTACAATACTGAGGGTGCCCATGGCTTTTTTTTTTTTCCTCCCAGTCCTCCCATCTTTTGAGGTCCAGCTGGTCCCAAACAAGACTTTCTTCTATCTCAAGGATGAGGTTCTGGGCGTTGACATCCACGCTCGGTGAGCCCCCTTCCTCCCAGCCCTGCCAGAAGATCAGGGACACAAAGATTGAATACAGAGAAACAAGTGCCAGGTGCTATGGCTCACGTCTGTAATCCCAGTGCTTTGGGAGACCAAGGCAGGAGGATCACTTGAGGCCAGGAGTTCAAGACCAGCCTGGACAACATGGCAAATTGCCTTCTCTACCTAAAAAAAAAAAAAAAAAAAAAAGCCAGGCTGGCTGGGCGTGGTGGCTCACACCTGTAATCCCAGCACTTTGGGAGGTCGAGGAGGGTGGATCACCTGAGGTCAGGAGTTTGAGACCAGCCTGGCCAACATGGCAAAAACTCATCTCTACTAAAACTACAAAAATAGGCAGGCATGGTGGTGCACACCTGTAGTCCCAGGTACTCAGGGACTACTGAGGTGGGAGAATCACTTGAACCCAGGAGGCAGAGGTTGCAGTGAGCCGAGATTGCATTATTGTACTCTAGCCTGGGTGACAGAGTGAGACTCTCTCTCAAAAAAAAAATTGGGGCCAGGCACGGTGGCTCAAGCCTGTAATTCCAGCACTTTGGGAGGCCGAGACGGGTGGATCACAAGGTCAGGAGATCAAGACCATCCTGGCTAACACAGTGAAATCCCGTCTCTACTAAAAATACAAAAATTAGCCGGGCACGGTGGCGGGCACCTGTAGTCCCAGCTACACGGGAGGCTGAGGCGAGAGAATGGCGTGAACCTGGGAGGTGGAGCTTGCAGTGAGTGGAGATCGCGCCACTGCACTCCAGCCTGGGCGACAGAGCGAGACTCCGTCTTAAAAAACACACAAAAAAATTATCTGGAAGTGGTGGTGCATGCCTGTTGTCCCAGTTGCTAGGGAGGCTGAGGTGGGAGGATCGCTTGAGCCCAGGAGGTAGAGGTCGCAGTGAGCCAAGACTGTGCCACTGCACTCCAGTGTGGGTGACAGAGTGAGACCCTGTCTCAAAAAAAAAAAAAAAAAAAAAAAAAGAAAAGAGAGAAGCAAGCCACTTCTGTAGCACTTAGGGTGGCAGACGCACTCTCCTCCTACCCATGAGATATTCTGGGCCACCTATGTTGTCCTGTGAGGTTGTACAGACCATGTCTGCCACCTGTGAAGTTGTATAAACCATTTCTTCAAGTCTATGAATTTGTAGAGGCCACCTTGTCTACCCAATGGAGTTGTACTGAGTCTCATCTCATCTGCCACTTCACAGTTTAGACCACCTCTGAAAGTCCATGAGGTGGTACAGGTTACCTTTGCCATTGAGAGATTGTCCAAACCATCTCTGCAGTTCTATGAGATGGCAAATGACACATTTGCTGCCTTGTGTTTTACAGACCATCTGCATTGCTCTATGAGGTTGTGCAGGCAATGCTGTCCACCTGAGATTATACGGGCTATGGGAGACCCATCTTGGTGAAGGCCACTTCTGGACATTATATGAATCATTCCTGCCACTCTAACATGCTACATAGGCCACCTAGTTTCCCTGGTGAGGCTGCACAGGCCACTTCGTAGGTTGCCGAGACTTCTTTGTGGCTTTACATAGTTTTAAGTCCACCTCTACCATCTTGGGAGATTGCACAGACCACATCTACAACCCATCAAGGCTTTATGGGATATATTTGTCACCTCCCAGAGTTGTGTGGGTCATCAATGAAACCATCTAAGTTTCCAAGTTCCACCTCTGCCCCTCCTAATTTTGCACAGTTATCCCTGAAGCAACATGAGGTATGTGGGTGCTTCAGAGACAGTGGAATGGTCCTCCATCCCCCAGGTATATATTTAACAAGCCAGTGGACGGACATGCTCTGGTCATCTTCGGGGTGAAACTGGACTCCCGCCGGATCCCTATCCAAAGCTCCCTGCAGAGGGTGGAGGTGACTGAATCCCAGCTCCCCAACCTCCAATTCACTCCACTTTCTATCACTCCCCAAGAAACCATATCCTCTTCCTCTCTCTTACCTTAAGAACAGATCTCGGAAGGCCTGGGCCACGTCTCCCTCCAGAAGGATGTGCTGATGGCTGCATTCCAAGGCCCAGAAAAGGACTTCATTGGAGGATCAATCTTTGTCAATGTCACCGTGTTCTCCTCAGGTGCCACCCTCACCCAGGCCCCTGACTGAGGACATGGTGTTCTTGCCCAGCGCAGACACTCCACCCACGTGACCTTGGGACACCTCCCAGCCTCAGTTTCCTCAATAGAGAAATGGGAAACACCAGAAAGGGTGGAAGGAGTTGAAATGTTATTGTCTTTCTCTACCTTCACCAAGATGGGGCTCCCATACTAGTCCTGCCATTCACTTAAGAAATTGAACTCCCTCACATATTCTATGTTCCCACTATCTCTACAGGGGGTGAGATGGTGCAAGCCGAGACCTCAGGGGTGAAGATTGTCCAGAGCCCATACAACATCAAGTTCACCAGGACACCCCAGTATTTCAAGCCAGGAATGCCCTTCCACTTTCGGGTCAGAGTCTGGACTCACTACACCCAGGGACTCAGGGCCCCCTCCCCAAAACAGACCTCTCACAAAGAGACAAAAACCCACACTGGACTTACCTGCATCCAACTCATCTGAAGGTTGAGTCCATCATATTCCCCAGGCTAATCCCAGAATCTCCCCAAACCTTAACCCAGATACCCCCAAAGCACAGTGATAACTCCAGAATTTCACTATGGGGACTTAGAGGTCACAATCAGGCTGGAAGAGGGTGTTTGAGGGTTTATCTAGAGGCTGCATTTGCAAAGCAAAGCATGGTCTTTTCACATATATTAATTTGGATGGGCATTAGGAAAATCAGGGATGTCCTTTGGCACCAATCCTACTCCAAGACTCCTGTAGGGTCTCATGTGTCCTCCTTCCCTCTCCACTCTCAGTCTTCCCACTTACCATCAGCTCCGCAACACCCAGTGTAACTACATGTGGTTGTACACTGCAAAGCTCTAGGAGGCGTCATTCATAAAAACTCTAATATGAATGGTGCCCCTGGTGTTGTTTAGTGCACCATGTGTTTGTACAAAGCAGTCCTATTCAGATCATATTCCAGTCTCACCTCTCACACCAGGCCACCCCAGGCTTTTCCTTCACCTCACCCCAGATTCCACCCCAGGTCTTCGTCTCAAATCCTGATGGATCCCCAGCTAACAGAGTCCTTGTCCAGTCCCAAAACTACAAAGTGTGCACCTCAACTGAGGGATTGGCCACTCTGACCATCAACACAGATGCAAATCTGGACAAGCTCCCCATCGAGGTACCAACTTGACAAGGCAAGGAGGGTGGAGTTGGAGCTGTGTGAGTTGGAAGGGTTGGGGTTTACTTGCCCATCATCCTCTCTAGGTGAAAACTGAGGAATCTCTTCAGCCAGAGGAGCAGGCTTCAGCCAAGATGACAGCTTGGCCTTACTTGACTCAAGATGGGTCAGGAAACTTCCTGCACATCGAAGTAAAGACATTAGGCGGCACAGAGGTTGGCAGCAGCATCCAGTTGAGCCTCAATACAAAGCATCAGGACCCTAAAACCAAGGACCGGATTACTCACTTCACCATCCTGGTAAGGGGCTAGGACCAGCATCTGAGTCAAGGAATTCTTTCCTTGGAAAAACCTTGGCTTGCTGGGTTGGAGAAACTATGAAAAAAAATGTGAAGGTGGCAACAATCTTGAGTGGGCTCAGATCAAGAGGCTGGAGAAAAGAGACTATGAGCCTCCATTGTGGGGTGGGACAGCTTCAGGGAAAGACTGGCTTTACCCTTCTCATCCTTTACCTCCCTTGTCTCCAAGGTCCTGAGTAAGGGCCAGATTGTGAGTGCCAGACATCAGTTAAAAAGCCAGGGGAGTGTCTACACGTCAGCCATTATTGATGTGACTTCAGCGATGCTGCCCTCCTTCCGCATTCTGGCATTTTATTTACTTCCCAGAGGAGTGAGCCAGGATCCTGAGTTGGTGGCTGATTCCATATGGATTGATGTGAATGACAGATGCATAGGGACGGTAAGCCAAACTCCTTATAGTTGTGAATCATCATCATAAAACCCCAGAAAGGGGCTGTACAAATTTAGGCATTCCCAAACTGGAAGCCAAGGAAGAGGAGAATATGTGGCCTTAAGAGCTCAACACAAGGTGTGGCGATGATACAAGTAAATAAATATATGGAATCGGGATTAGCCTAGTGGAGTTCTCAGATGCTACACCAGAGCAGTAGGGAACATAAACCTGAAAGTGGAGTTGTGTGGTCTATGATTCCCTTTTTCTGACATCTCTCTTTTTCTTGGCTCAGCTGAAAGTTGGCTTGAAGAATGATAGATTCTTCCCATCTTTGGAGCCCAACAGCCAAGTGGAACTGAAGGTGACAGGTGATGCAGAAGCCACAGTGGGGCTGGTGGCTGTGGACAAGGCTGTCTATGTTTTGAACAGCAAACACAAGCTCACTCAGAAGAAGGTAAGAGCGTATGGGCTTTGGGCCAAGATGTTGCCAGGATATTCTAGCTGGAACCTCAGATTCTTCAGCCATAAAGAGGACAACATCAATGTAATGATTCAAGGAGATGGTGCAAAGCCTAATGACTGAAAGGTGATAAGAGCTCAAAAAATGGGAGATAGTATGAGAATTATTATTTGAGCCTGCAATTCCAGTATACCATTTTTCCTTTCATGGAGGAGTCATATAGGTCCCAAATCTAGGTTCCTCTCTTAACTTCTAGGTCTGGGATGTGGTGGAGGAACATGACATTGGCTGCACAGCAGGAAGTGGAAAAGACAGATTTGCTGTGTTCAAGGATGCTGGATTGGACCTGAAAATGAGCACAGGAATGGATAGCCTGGCAAGCACAGGTACAGGCTTGGGGGGTTGGGGAAAGAGGAGGGCAGGATTGGGGGCAGTGCTGCCTAGTGAGGTTTAGTGTCAAACAGATATGGGCTGTAATCCACATCCTGTCACTTACCATGGGCCAGTCACATTTCTCTCTGAGTCTTGATTTCTTTGTCCATAAATTACAGATAATAACAGAAGTAACTCACTGTGTATTGGTTAAGACAGGGTTAGCCATGTGTATCAAAGATACAAATAACAGTAAGTTAAACAGGTAGTTTATTTCTCATTCAGTAACACTACAGAGGTCATCCTGGGACTCAGACTCCTTCTAGGAGTCCATCCATGCCAGGCAGGAAGATGAAGGGAAGTGGAAAGAGGAGGACACTTCTTCCACATCTCATTGGTCAGAATAGAGTCACATGGCCCCATCTAAGTGCAAGAGAGGCTGAGAAATGTAGTCTTTATTCTGAGTGATCTATACAATATGGAGGCTTACTTGCCTCCATATTGTATGAGGGATGATAATGGATTTGGAGACAACTAAGAGTGTATTCTCTCAGCTATAAATTGTAATATTAATAACAGTTCTTATTTATTACATGCCAGACCCAGTGCTAAGTACTTGTATATGCATGATCTCATTGACAGAACTCTGGTTATGCCCATTTTACATCACTGGGGAAATTAACACCCAGAGAGGTTAAGTGACTTGTTGAAAATTGCCCAGCTTTTAAGTGACAAGTCTTGAATATAGGAGGCTGTCAGATGAAATGAAGTGGTGCATATAAAGCGCTGGACATACAGCAAACACCCAATAAACATCATCAAGGATATTGATAATGATCTTGGTAATTGTTCTATTATCATTCCCTCTGACTCCCAGACTGGCCCTGCCCCCAGGACCCTCCTCCTAACCGCCATCGCCGCTCCCTGAAGAGGCTGGAGACAAAGAGGAATGCAGGTCAGTGTTAAAGCTGTATGCCTCGCTCCATCTCCCCAACCTACGGTATCCATAAGGGCTTAGAACAGGACACCAAAACCACTCTATGCATTTCTAGCAGGGAGGGATCTAATAGGGGGAGTTTGGTGCTTACAAAATCATTAGATGGGCTTTTGGGGTGGAAGTTGGGAGCGTGCTTGCTGGGACTCAAGATCACCCCACTTCAGTCTTGCAATCCATGAAATATCAGGAAACTGCTGCCAGTATCTCTCAAAAGGCTGGTATGTTGATAATCAAACACGAAATTGTGCCCATTACAAAAACACACATAGACTGGAGCCCAGCCCACTCGTCAGCTACCACTGCTGCAAGAAAAATGGTTTCTGCTTCTCTTCTATCTCCCAGATCTCTCATAAGAGCATATTAGTGGCTGCATCTAATCCCATTCAGAACCCTAGCAGCAAGGGAGTCTGGGAAATGTAGTTTTCAAATGTCTAGCCTCTGTGGTACGGGATGGAATGTAGACAAAAGGAGAGATATTGTCATTGGACAATATCTGAATAAACTGCCATCCTGAAGGCTAGAGTATGGACCAGAAGAAGAAGTTTTGAGCCTGGATTCAGAGGAAGATGGGAGGCAGCACCAGGTGGTGTTAGAAGCATGGATTCTGAGGCTGGCATGGTGGCTCATGCCTGTAAACCCAGCACTTTGGGAGGCCAAGGCAGGTGGATCACTTGAGGTCAGGAGTTCGAGACCAGCCTGGCCAACATGGTGAAACCCTGTCTCTACTACAAGTACAAAAATTAGCCGGATGTGGTGGTGGGCACCTGTAATCCCAGCTACATGGGAGGCTGAGGCATGAGAATCACTTGAACCTGAGAGGCAGAGGTTTGCAGTAAGCCGAAATTGCGCCACTGCACTCCAGCCTGGGTGACAGCGTGCTACTCTGTATCAAAAAAAAAAAAAAAAAAAAAAAAAAAGCAGTATGGATTCTGATCCCACCTCTGCCACTTGGAAGCCTTGATTCTAGGCAAATGAATTCACCTCTCTGTGGCTCAGCTTCCTTGTCAGAATCTCACCATGTGAGTTCAATATGAGGCTTCAGAAAGGGCACAGATAAGGCACTAGGCATAGAATCTACCACAGAGTCATTGCTAAATAGTGGCAAGGTGTGCATAGCATCAAGGTGAATGGTCCTTCGGTCCTGCCCAACCCTCCTCTTTCCTTCTGACTCTGGCCCACAGTGAACAAGTTTAAGACAGAGCTGGAGCAAAAGTGCTGTGAGGCTGGGCTCCGGGAAAGCCCAGTGGAGCTGTCCTGTGAGGAGAGGACCTGGCATGTCCGCCATGGTCCAGCCTGTGTGGCTGCTTTCCTGGACTGCTGCCATCTATCTGAGACCCTGACTCGGGAGGCTCGAGAGGATCAGCTGCGTCTGGGGACAAGTGAGGGGGCCATGGCAGGAGATGTAGGGTGGGGGCTTCATGGAGGGATACAGAGTGACATGGGACAGGTTAAGGGGTGATATGGGCCATGGAGGGTTGGAGAGGAGGATCCCACAAGGAGTCTGGTGGAACATGGAAGAAACATGAAGGAGACTCTACCTCATACCTACTCCCTCCAGTGGATGAAGAGGAGGACTTCGACGACCTCTTCCTGGATGACATGCCGGCGCGGACCTTGTTCCCTGAGAGTTGGCTCTGGAGGAAGTTCACTCTGCCAAAGAGTGAATCGGGGTAGGACATCAGCCTCCATGCCAGAATCTGGTCCCAGGTCCTTGCAATCATCAGTGGATGCTGGTCAGGGACAATGACCCCAGCAGTGACATTGAGCCTCAGGACAGTCCCACAATGGGGAAAACATCTTAGTGGATTCCCTAAAAGGATGACCCTCTAGCGATGCTGTCACTAATGAGGTGACCTGATGATCCTCAATGGTGACCATAACCACTGCATGGTGACCCCCAACCCAGAAGCTCTGTCCATGCAGCACAAACTCAGTGATGTTTCCTCACTCACAACAGCATCTCCCATTACCCCATCTCTGTGAACGTGCCAGATTCCATCACCACATGGCAGTTTGTGGCGGTCAGCCTCAAGGCTGGACAAGGTGAGTCCCAGCAAGCTCAGTGCTAAGGAAATGGGGGTATGGTGACCTTACCCAGCCCCTCCCCGCACCGAGCCTCTGCATAAACCCAATGTGCTTTCCTGGCTTTAGGTCTCTGTGTCTCGGACCCCTTTGAGCTGACAGTTATGAAATCGTTCTTTGTGGACCTTAAGTTGCCCTCCTCTGTGGTCAGGAATGAGCAGGTCCAGATCCAAGCCGTGTTGTACAATTTCAGGGATCGCCAGGCCAAGGTGAAGCCTCAAGCCCTCAACTTCCTGCCAAAACCTCTGCTAGGGTGTATTTTTTTATTTTTTAATTATTTTATTTCATTTTATTTATTTATGCAAGGGGGAGTTTGTAGTGAGCCGAGATCGTGCCACTGTGCTCCAGCCTGGGTGACAGTGTGAGACTCCATCAAAAACAAGAAAGAAAGAAAGAAAGAGAGAGAGAGAGAGAAAGAAAGAAGAGAAAGAAGAGAGGGAGGGACAGAGGGAGGAAGAGAGAGAGAGGGAAAGAAAAAAGAAAAAGAAAGAAAGAAGAGAGAAAGAAACAAAAAGAAAGAAGAAAGAAAAGAAAGAAAGAGAGAAAGAGAGAGAGAGAGAAAGAAAGGGAGAAGGGGGGCGGGGCACAGCGGCTCATGCCTGTAATCCCAGCACTTTGGAAGGCCGAGGTGGGCGGATCACGAGGTCAGGAGATCGAGACCATCCTGGCTAACACGGTGAAACCCCATCTCCACTAAAAATACAAAAAATTAGCCAGGCGTGGTGGCGAGCTCCTGTATTCCCAGCTACCCTGGAGGCCAAGGCAGGAGAATGGCATGAACCCAGGATGGGGAGCTTGCAGTGAGCCGAGATCGTGCCACTGCACTCCAGCCTGGGCGACAGTGTGAGACTCCATCAAAAAAAAAAAGAAAGAGAGAGAGAGAGAGGAAGAAAGAAAGAAGAGAAAGAAGAGAGGGAGGGAGAGAGAGAGAGAAAGAAGAAGAAAGAAAGAAGATAGAAAGATGAAAGAAAGAAAGAGAAAAAGAAAGAGAGAGAAGGGGGGGAGGGAGGGAAGGAAAGAGAGAGGAAGGGAGGGAGGGGGAGGGAGGGAGGGAAAGAAAGAGAGAGGGAGGGAGGAAGAAAGAAAGGAAGGAAGGGAGGGAGGGAGGAAGGAAGGAAGGAAGGAAGGAAGGAAGGAAAGAAAGAATTTAAACCTCACAACAACCCCATCAGATGGGTACTATTATTGTTCTTGGTTTAGAGATGAGGAAATTAAGACACAGAGAGGTTAAAGGGCTTGCCTGGAGTCACACAGCACATAAAGGGCAGATGGGGCTCTGACTCAGGCTGGGTCTGTGGTCCCCATCACTAGGCTTCACTGTCACCTACTCGGGCATCTCAGGGTGGGGAGGGGACTGTAACCCTAGGGTTCTGGACTACATCATACATCGATACCATCTCCCTTTGCCCATCCTGCCCTAGGTCCGAGTGGAGTTCCCCCACAAGGAGCCGCTGTGCAGTGCGTCAAAGCCAGGAGCACCATCCCGCCAGGTGGTGGTCGTGCCCCCCACCTCCTCCAAGACAGTACCCTTTGTGCTTCTCCCTCTGGAGATAGGCAAAGTGGACGTGGAGGTCAAGGCTGTGGGCTACGGGGTCCAGGACCACGTGAAGAAGACACTCTTGGTCCGGGTAATAGTCACCCCCAACTCCCTAGCTGCTGGTGCAGACAGCGGGGCTTCCACCAGGTCCAGGCTGGGCAGGTGGGCCCAGGATCGATAAACAGGGCTCCTAGATGGGAGTGAGATGAGAGAACAGATTTGAAAGTTCAATCAGTTGGCTGGGCGCGGTGGCTCACACCCATAATCTCAGCAGCTTGGGAGGCCAAGGCGGGTGGATCACCTGAGGTCAGGAGTTCGAGACCAGCCTGGCCAACATGGTGAAACTCCATCTCTGCTAAAAATGCAAAAATTAGCTGGGCATAGTGGTGCATGCCTGGAGTCCCAGCTACTCGGGAGGCTGAGGCAGGAGAATTGTTTAAACCCTGGAGGTGGAGGATGCAGTGAGCCGAGATTGTACCACTGCACTCCAGCCTGGGCAACAGAATGAGACTCCGTCTCAAAAAAAAAAAAAAAAAAAAAGAAGGAGGAAAAAGTTTAGTCAGTGGACTGATGTGAGGGGGTCGGGTCACAAGCCCCCACTTCAGAGTTTTGGAGTCAGGTCTGGGTTCAAATCTTGTCTGTGCTGCATGACCTTGGGCAACTTACTTAAATTCTCTGTTCTGAGCCTCCATTTCCTTGCTTGCAGGATGAGGATAATCATCATACCCACGAATAATCAGAGAGCTGGGAAAATGACCCAGAACCGGTGTATGGCCTATCAAAAATACTTTATTAGGCTGGGCTTGGTGGCTCATGCCTGTAATCCCAGTACTTTGCGAGGCCAAGGCAGGAAGATTGCTTGAGCCCACAAGTTCAAGACCAACCTGGGCAATATAGCAAGACCTCTCTAGAAAAAAATTTAAAAATTAGCCTGGCATTAGTAACTGGCATCTGTAGTCCCAGTTACTCAGGAAGCTGAGGGAGGATTGCTTGAGCCCATGAGATTGAGCCTGAAGCTGAGATCACGCCACTGCACTCCAGCCTGGGCAACAGAGCAAGACCCTCTCTCTAAAAAACAAACAAACAAAAGACCTTATTTACTTAACAAACACATGTTTAACGCTTAAGATACAAGTGTTTAAGAATATTAACTCAGGTGTAGTGGCACCCCCATGTACTCCCAGATATTTGGGAGGCTGAGGTGGGACGATCATTTGAGCCTAGAAATTTGAGTCCAGCCTGGGCAACCTGAAATTTTTTTTCCTCTGAAAAAAAAAAAATAACTAGATCAGGCATGGTGGCTCATGCCTGTAATCTCAGCACTTTGGGAGGCTGAAGCAGGTGAATCACTTGAGGCCAGGAGTTCAAGACCATGCTGGCCAACATGGCAAAACGCTATCTCTACTAAAAGTACCAAAATTAGCCTGACGTGGTGGTGTGCACCTGTAATTCGAGCTACTCAGGAGGCTGAGGCATGAGAATCCCTTGAACTTGGGAGGTGGAGGCTGCAATGAGCTGAGATCATGCCACTGCCTCCAGCCTGGGTGACAGAGTGAGACCCTATCTCAAAAAAAAAAAAAAATTAACTAATTCAGCCCTCAAAACAACCCTATGAGTGAGGGACTATTATTATCCCCCTTTGACAGATGAGAAAACTGAGGCAGAGAGAGGGTAACTGGCCGGGCGTGGTGGCTCAAGCCTGTAATCCCAGCACTTTGGGAGGCCGAGACAGGCGGATCACGAGGTCGGGAGATCGAGACCATCCTGGCTACCCCGGTGAAACCCCGTCTCTACTAAAAAATACAAAAAACTAGCCGGGTGAGGTGGCGGGCACCTGTAGTCTCAGCTGCTCGGGAGGCTGAGGCAGGAGAATGGCGTAAACTCTGGAGGCGGAGTTTGCAGTGAGCTGAGATCCGACCACTGCACTCCAACCTGGGCAACACAGTGAGACTCCATCTCAAAAAAAAAAAAAAAAGCTGGGGGGAGGGTAACTAATTTTTCCCAAGGACACACAGCTAGGAAGCAGAAGAGTTGGGATTCGAACCCAGAAATTTGGGCTCCAGAGTCTGTGCTTATCACAGCCAAGGAATGCCTCCTCTCACCATCATTGCGATTGTCATTTTTATTGTGGTTGCTGTTTTTGCTTTTGACTTATATCCTCAACTCATCCCTCAGGCAGGGGGTCAGATCCAGCAAACGTCCTACAGCATCGTCTTGGAACCCCAAGGTTTGTGAAATCTGCAGGGGGTATGTGAGATCCTGGGGCTGTGCTAGGGAGGAGGAAGGAGTTGGCATGAGAGGGTGTGCCCAGGTGGGGGTTCCGAGCCCCAGCCCCAGGCTCTGTGCACCCTGACTTCCCCAGCCCCAGAGCCCACTTGTCACAGAAGGTTGTGGTTCTTCAGGTCAGACCCAGACAAAACTGGTGCCAAGACAGGAGTTCTTGAACATGGTACCCGACACGGAGGCGGAAGTGTTTATCAGTGTTCAAGGTGCTGGGGGACACAGGAACGTGGGGAGGGCTGACACTGGGTCCTTTAAGGTCCACGAGGCACCAGGGCAGGAGGAGCTGGGGGTGGCCGTGTGGGGCGATCAGTGAACCATGGTGGCTTAGGCATAGGCCACTCCCAGGGTGACCCAACTCACCCACCCAACAGGTGACATCCTTGGTGAGACAATTGTGGGCAGCCTGACACCCAACGAGATTTGGCGTCTGCTGTGGGTCCCCACGGGCTGCCCTGAGCAGACGCTGAGCTCCCTGACACCTGTCATCATCCTGTCCCGCTATTTGGATGCCACCGGCCAGTGGGGCAAGGTCGGGGTGGAGCACAGGGACCAGGTGATGAAGAATATTGTCAGCGGTGAGAGCGGGGACCCTCCTGGGGCCTCCATGAGGGTGCCTGGGGATCTCCCAGAGGGTGGCTGGGGAGCCCCCAAGATTGGGGAAATCTTCATGGGACCCCCCAGTCCCCGCCTCAGGCATTAACACCCAAACTGTGACTCCTTCCCCAGACTGCAACCTGGTACTAATTCCCCAAGGTCATCCCCCAGCTGTGACACACCCATGGGAATTCTTCACCTGACCCCTTCCCCAGGCTTCAATCTCTTTTTTTTTTTTTTTGTGATGTAGTCTCGCTCTGTCACCAAGGCTGGAGTGCACTGGCATGATCTTGGCTCACTGCAACCTCCACCTCCCAGGTTCGAGCCATTCTTCTGCCTCAGCCTCCTGAGTAACTGGGATTACAGGTGCCCTCTACCATGCCTGGCTAATTTTTGTATTTGTATTTATTTATTTATTTATTTATTTATTTAGAGACGGCATCTCACTCTGTCGCCCAGGCTGGAGTGCAGTGGTACAATTTCAGGTGCCCCCCACCACACTCGGCTAATTTTTGGATTTTTAGTGCAGATGGGGTTTTGCCATGTTGGTCAGGCTGTTCTTGAACTCCTGACCTCAGGTGATCCACCTGCCTGGGCCTCCCTAAGTGCTGGGATTACAGGTGTGAGCCACCGCGCCAGACCTCTAGGCTTCAATCTTATGTCAGACACCCTGATTTCTCCCAACAAGCCATGCTGCGAGAGGATGTTGTACTCAGGCCCTGCCCTAGGTTGCACCCCCTCAGTGCCACTCCCAGGGAACCCCAGGGAACACCCAAGCAGCAAACCCCAGAATAACCCCAGGCAGTGGCCTCTTAGTTGCACCTGTATGCTGATACTTCCCCGGGTTACAACCAAACACCCCAGGGAGTAACCAGAGATGAACACCCCTAGTAACACCCACCGAACTCAGTTAATTGGTCCCAGGTTTCCCTCAGACTCCAACTTTCCCTCCAGGTTTTCTCAAACAGTAATCCCACAGGTAACATCCAGATACTGTCACCCCAGTGCTTCAAGCAAACAGGAAACCTCCAGGGGAACTTCAAGTAATGAGTAGCGAGGTTCGGAATACACCTGAAAGGCTGGGTGTGTTGGCTCGTGCCTGTAATCCCAGCACTTTGGGAGGCCAAGGTAGGAAGATCACTTGAGCCCAGGAGCTTGAGACCAGCCTGGGCAACATAGTGAGACCCTCATCTGTACCAAAAAAATGTTTAAATTGGCTAGGTGTGGTGGTTCCTGTCTGCAGTCTCAGCTATTCAGAAGCCTGAGTGGGAGGATTGCTTGAGCCCCAGAGTTTGAGACTAGCCTGGGCAACATAGTGAGACCTCATCTTTAAAAAAAATTAGACTGGTGTAGTGGTGCATGCCTGTAATCGCAGCTACTACTTGGGAGGCTGAGGTGGGAGGATAACTTGACCAGGGAAGGTTGAGGCTGAAGTGAGCTATCATTGTACCACTCTACTCCAGCCTGGGTGACAGAGTGAGACCCGGTCTCAAAAAAATAAAAATAAATTTAAAAAGGGCTGGGCACACACCTGTAATCCCAGCACTTTGGGAGACCGAGGCAGGTGGATCACCTGAGATCAGGAGTTCAAGACCACCCTGGCCAACATGGTGAAACCCCATCTCTACTAAAAATACAAAAATTAGCCAGGTGTGGTGGTGCGCCTGTAATCCCAGCTACTCAGGAGGCTGAGGCAGGAGAATCACTTCAACCCAGGAGGCAGAAGTTGCAGTGAGCTGAGATCGCTCCACTGTACTACAGCCTGGGTGACAGAGCAAGACTCTGTCTCAAAAAAATAAAAAGAATACACCAGAGAAGTACTCATCTAAGATCACGCCCCGAAGTAACCTCCCCTGGGTGACACAGACGCACTGACACTCCAGGTTTACATCCAAGAAATAACCCCCAAGAAAACTCCTAGGCTGGCCGGGCACAGTGGCTCACGCCTGTAATCCCAGCACTCTGGGAGGCCGATGTGAGTGGATCACCTGAGGTGAGGAGTTCCAGACCAGCCTGGACAACATGGTGAAACCCCATCTCTACTAAAAATACAAAAATTAGCTGGGCGTGGTGACTCATGCCTGTAATCCCAGCTACTTGGGAGGCTGAAGCTGGAAAATCGCTTGAACCCGGGAGGTGGAGGTTGCAGTGAGCCGAGATCGCACCACTGCACTCCAGCCTGCGCAATAGAGAAAGACTGTCTCAAAAAAAAAAAGGCCGGGCGCGGTGGCTCAAGCCTGTAATCCCAGCACTTTGGAGGCCGAGACGGGCAGATCACGAGGTCAGGAGATCGAGACCATCCTGGCTAACATGGTGAAACCCCGTCTCTACTAAAAAATACAAAAAAATTCGCCGGGCGAGGTGGCAGGCGCCTGTAGTCCCAGCTACTTGGGAGGCTGAGGCAGGAGAATGGCATAAACCCGGGAGGCAGAGCTTGCAGTGAGCTGAGATCCGGCCACTGCATTCCAGCCTGGGAGACACAGCAAGATTCCGTCTCAAAAAAAAACAAAAAAACAAAAAAAAAAAACAACTCCCACATAGCACCCCTCAAGTTGCCCCATCTCCCAGGTTACATGTGGACAACAATATGATTTCTTCCAGCAGCAACTCCAAGGGTAGCATGCCCTGCCCCAGAGTCCCCGAGGTGAAGGTTTCCTGGGTTACACTCAGAGACAACTGAATCCTGGGTCCCTCAAAGTCATTCCTGAGCTCTGCTCCTCACTTACACCTGGGCCCTAAACACCCTTCCAAAGTACACCTGGCCAACAGGTCTCCCCCTCTAGATTACCTCTATGTGTGACACCCCCACGTCACCTCCAGTCCCTGCCCGCCAGGTTATTCCTGATAACACTGACTGTCCCTCAAAGCCCTGCTCTGTTTCCTCAGGCTACACTCGGATGTTGACCCACCGGAGTTCAGACGGCACCTACCACACCTCCAAGGGGAACCCAGGAAGCACCTGGTGAGGATGACCCTGTCTCTCCTGTCACTGCCACTCTGGAAGCCCAAGGGGCCAGTCTGGGGTCTGATGACTCAGGAGCATCCACGCTGTAGAGTCTTGGGGACTTGGGGTGTCCAGCACACGTGTCTGGGGAATTCTACACTGGCAGGACTGGGCAGCGGCAAATGGCAGGGGTCCACCTGGAATGGTGTGGACCATGGCATAGACTCCCCCTGTCCCAGAGCCTCCTTGGCTGCCGTTCGCAGGTGTCACCTTCACCCTCTCCTGACAGGCTCACAAGCTACGTGTTCCGTGTCTTTGCCCTGGCCCACTCTACAGTGACGACCCAAGTGCTTAGCCTGTCCTCTCTCTGTGACATGGCCAACTGGATCATCACCAACAGGCAGGCGGAGGACGGGCACTTCCTGGAGGAGGGTCCCGTGGTCATGACATCCATGCAGGTGATCACACCCCTCCCTGCCTGGGCCATTCAAACAAATCCCAGGGACTCTGTGCGCTAAGATGGAGATTTCAGGCTCCCAATCTGTTCTTGGGCAGAATGAGAACAGGAAAGAGTTGAGGCTTGGTGCCAAGGATCACATCCCCACCCAGGTCTAAACCACCTCACACTCTTCCTCATCTCCACATCAAGCAGTGGCCTGCCCTGTCCCTCCTCCCTCGGGCACTGAGTCCTCCCCAGCTTGCACACCCATCCCCACCAAGAGTCCCCTCACACCAACATCCAGAAATGTCTTTCAAACGAAGCCTGGCAGGTCTCTCCCCTGCTCAAACACCTGCTGTAGCTCACAGCTATCTTTGTCTGTATCACCTCCCAGGCCTCGCCCCACCACTCCTTTCTCAGTATTCACACTGAACCACTCATAGGCTCCTCCAACTCTCCTCCAAAAAGTACGTTTGCTGCCCTCTCTGCAAGCAACAGGCCAAATTATTATTATTACTATTTATTATTTTGAGACAGAGTTCCACTCTGTCACCCAGACTGGAAGGTAGTGGCATGATCTCAACTCACTGCAACCTCCATCTCCTGGGTTCAAGCGAGTCTTATGCCTCAGCCACCCGAGTAGCTGAGATTACAGGCATGTGCCACCAGATCCAGCTAATTTTTACATTTTTGTTTTAGTAGATGGGGTTTCACCATGTGGTCCAGGCTGGTCTCAAACTCCTGGCCTTAAGTGGTCTGCCTGCCTCGGCCTCCCAAAGTTCTGGGATTACAGACATGAGCCTCGGCTGGAGTGCAATAGCACGATCTCGGCTCACTGCCTCTGCCTCCTGGGTTCAGCCTATTGTTATTATTTTTAGAGATAGGATCTTGCTCTGTTGCCCAGGCTGGAATGCAGTGGCACAATCATAGCTCATTACAGCCTCAAACTTCTGAGCTCAAGAGTCCCCTTGCCTTAGCCTCCTCAGTGGCTGGGACTAAAGGTGCAAACCACCATTCCCAGCTAATTTTTTTTTTTTTTTTTTGAGATGGAGTCTTGCTCTGTTGCCCAGGCTGGAGTGCAGTGGCGAAATCTCGGCTCACTGCAACCTCTGCCTCCTGGGTTCAAGCGATTCTCCTGCCTCAGCTTCCTGAGTAGCTGGGACTACAGGCATGCACCACCACGCTTGGCTAATTTTTGTAGTTTTAGTAGAGACAGGGTTTTGCCATGTTGCCCAGGCTAGTCTCGAACTCCTGACCTCAGGTGATCTGCCCGCCTTTGTCTCCTAAAGTACTGGGATTACAGGCATGAGCCATCACCTCTGACCCTGACATGATCTTCTTTTTCTTTTTTTTTTTTTTTTTTGAGATGGAGTCTTGCTCTGTCACCCAGGCTGGAGTACAGTAGCATGATCTCAGCTCACTGCAACCTCTGCCTCCTGGGTTCAAGCGATTCTTCTGCGTCAGCCTCCTAAGTAACTGGGACTGCAAGCAAGTCCACTATATCAGGCTACTTTTTATATTTTTAGTAGAGACAGGGTTTCACCGTATTGGCCAGGCTGGTCTTGAACTCCTGACCTCATGATCTGCCCACCTCAGCCTCCCAATATGCTGGGATTACAGGCGTGAACCACCGCACCCAGAATTTTTTTTTTTTTTTTTTTGAAACAGAGCCTTGTTCTGTCACCCAGGCTAGAGTGAAGTGGTGAGATCTCGGCTCACTGCAACATCTGCCTCCCAGGTTCGAGCGATTTTCCTGCCTCAGCCTCCTGAGTAGCTGGGACTACAGGCTCATGTCACCACGCCTGGTTAATTTTTTGTATTTTTTAGTAGCTATGGGGTTTCACCATGTTAGTCAGGATGGTCTCCATCTCCTGACCTCATGATCCACCCGCCTCGGTCTCCCAAAGTGCTGGGATTACAGACGTGAGCCACCGCGCCTGGCCAACATGACCTTCTTATAAGGGCACCAGTTATTAGACTTAGGGTCCACCCTAATCCAGTATGATCTCTTCTTAATTTTAATTACATCCTCAAAGACCCAGTTTCCAAATAAGATCACATCTTAGGCCAGGCATGAGCCACCGTGCCCGGCCGATAGCTTTTGACTGTAGGGCAGACCCCAGGGAGGCAAACCTCTCCTTTCTGTCTTCATCCCACCTCCACCATCATCCCGTCCAGAGCTGGGTACCTGGAAACTTCTCAGGGTCAGACAGGAGAGGCTGAGGAAGGCATCTCCAAGACGCTGAGGGGATCACAGGTTGTACTCTGCATCCACAGGGTGGCTACCAAGGCTCCGAGGAGGATGTATCCCTCACAGCTCTCGTCCTGATAGCCCTGAATGAGGGAAAGGAGTTGTGCAACCAGAAGGTAGGACCCCAGAGAGGAGGGCAGGATCTGTATGGTCCTCTAGTCCCAGCATCTGGAAAGCTCCCACATCCTCACATCCCCCTGGGTCCCTCTAACTTCTAGACTTCTTTTCTCTGATCATCTCCCTCTGGCCTCCTCCCTCTGACCCTCTAGAATTTGATGGTCAGCATCGAGAGAGCCCGTGGCTTCCTGGAGAGAAAACTTCCTGACATTCAGACAACATTTGCCATAGCCATAGCCTCCTACGCACTGGCCCTTGCCAACAGCTCCCAAGCCAACGACCGCCTGGACAGCTTTGCTAGCCCTAGTGAGTGTGGGATGCTTCTTAGTCAACCTCAGTCATGGAGTGGGGAGGGGGTGATCTCAAATCCAGCAATGTGTCATTCATCACTTAGTGTTTCCTGAGCATCCACTGTGTATCAACTCTTGAGCTCAGACCCCGTGAGACCAAGGTGAACAACACCGATAAGTTCCCTGCCCTCAAGGGTCCCACCATCCTTGGAAGAGACAATCGGAAGACAGACAGGTCACCATATAATTCCAAACTGAGGCTGGGGGCAGTGGCTCATGCCTGTAATCCCAGTCCTTTGGGAGGCCAAGGCGGGCGGATCACCTGAGGTCAGGAGTTTGAGACCAGCCTGGCCAACATGGTGAAACACTGTCTCTACTAATACAAAAAAATTAGCTGGTCATGGTGGCACATGCCTGTAGTCCCAGTTACTCAGGAGGCTGAAGCAGGAAAATCACTTGAACCCCCGAGGTGGAGCTTGCAGTGAGCCAAGATAGGGCCTGCACTCCAGCCTGGGCAACAGAGTGGGACTCCATCTCAAAAAAAAAAAAAAAAAAAAAATCCCATGGCTGATCCTATCTCATCCCCAAGGATCCATATCCCATCTTCTCCATTCCACAAGTTAAAGAACTAGGAAAATTTGCTTGCAGTGGGACTGGAGGGACCTGAAGGTTTTTTTTTTTTTTTTTTTTTTTTTGAGACAGAGTCTTGCTCTTGTCGCCCAGGCTGGAGTGCAATGGCATGATCTCAGCTCACTGCAACCTCCACCTCTCGGGTTCAAGCGATTCTCCTGCCTCAGCCTCCTGAGTAGCTGGGATTACAGGCACCCACCAGCACAGCTGGCTAATTTTTTTGTACTTTTAGTAGAAACGGGGTTTCACCATGTTGGCCAGGCTGGTCTGGAACTCCTCAGGTGATCCGCCCGCCTTGGCCTCCCAAAGTTCTGAGATTACAGATGTAAGCCACCGTGTCCAGCCAGGAACTTTTTCTGAAACTCAATTTCCCCATCAGAAAATAGATCTCGTCTCCTAAGGTCGTTCTGAAAATTGGATGTCCGTGTTTCCTCAGCAAAGAGCTTCACATAAACTAGGTGATCAAGACTGGGCACGGTGGCTCACGCCTGTAATCCCAACATTTTGGGAGGTCGAGGTGAGAGAATGGCTTGAGTCAGGAGTTCAAAACCAACCTCGACAACATAATGAGAACTCCCCCACCCCCACTCCTCCATCTCTACAAAAATAAAAATAAAGTAGGTGATCAATAAGATGGCAGATGAGAAAACTGGGCCAGATGACACAAGGAGAGGGCAGGTTACGGTGGGTGGGCCCAGCTCTGGGTGACAAGGCGGGCATCCCTGTTTCTAGACAAAACCCACTGGCCGGTGGATGAGCAGAACCTCGGCTCCCTGTACACCATTGAGGCCACAGCCTATGCGCTCATGCAGAAGCTGGAGAGGCGCCGGTACAATGAGACGCACGCCATCGCCAAGTGGCTACTAGAGAAGCGGGAGCTGGGAGGAGGCTTCGGGTCCACCCAGGTGACGGGGACCCCCGGGAGGTGAGGGCCAGAGTCGCTAGCCGAGGTGCTGACGCGACTAGTCCAACGCGGGAGTGTGGGGTGCTGTCCGTGGTGCTGACACGCCGGCCGATGGTTTCTCCAGTGCTGTCTGTGGTGCTGATCCACGTTCCCCCACCTCCCCGCCCCATTCCAACACTCAGACCACGGTGGTGGCCCTTGAAGCTCTGACCCGCTTCCGCGAAGATGTCCCCTTCCAGGGCGTCCAGGATTTCCACATCCAGGTCAGCGCCCCCAAGAAAGCCCTGAATGTGAATTGGCACATTGATCACAACAATGCCTACCAACAGCGGTCAGCAAAGGTATGTCACTAAGGGGCAGGCCAGAGTACACGCAGAGATGACATTGGAGATGAGGTGAAGCATCATGTCCCTGCTGATCTCCCTCCTCAAGACACACCCCAAGATATCATAAGCGATGGAAATGTGGCTATACTGTCAATGTATTGATTCTTCTATTCCATCAACATTTCCCTAGCATCTACCATGCATCAAAGACTTTCCTAGGCATTGAGGTTATTTTATGAAAGATCCATGGTCCCTGCTCTTATGGTATCTAGAAGATTCCATAAGATCTAGAAGAAAATGGGCCAAGTGACGTGACTCACGCCTATAATCCCAGCACTTTGGGAGGCCGAGGTGGGTGGATCACCTGAGGTCAGGAGTTCGAGACCAGCCTGGTCAATGTAGTGAAACCCCATCTCTACTAAAAATACAAAAATTACCTGGGCATGGTGGTGCGTGCCTGTAATCCCAGCTACTCGGGAGGCTGAGACAGGAGAATCACTTGAACCCAGGAGGAGGAGGAAGTTGTAGTTACCTGGGATTGCACCTGGGTGGCAGAGTGAGACTCCATCTCAAAATAAAAATAAAAATAAATATAAATAAATAAATAAATGGAAAGAAATGACACCCTGGGCAACATAGCAAGAATCCATCTCTACTAAAAAAGAAAAGAAGGAAAACAACTCATCTAAGGTCACGCATTGTTTAGTGGATGTCCCTGGATAAATAGTTGTCAAGATGAAGAAAGCAGAGGGAGGGGAGGGGAAGAGTGTTTCTTTTTGTTGTTGTTGTTGTTGTTGTTGAGACAGAGTCTCACTCAGTCACCCAGGCTGGAGTGTAGTGGCATGATCTTGCCTCACTGAAACCTCCATCTCCCGGGTTCAAGCGATTCTCCTGTGTCAGCCTCCCCAGTAGCTGGGATTACAGGCATGCACCATTCAGCTAATTTTTGTAGTTTTAGTAGAAATGGGGTTTCACCATGGTGGCCAGGCTGGTCTCGAAATCCTAGCCTCATGTGACCCACCTGCCTCGGCCTCCCAAATTGCTGGGATTACAGGCATGAGCCACCACGCCCAGCTGAGGAAGAGTGCTTCTGACATAGGGAACAGCATAGAGTGGAGACCCGGAGCCACTCAGGCACAGGAATGGTCAGAAGGGAGAACAGCAAATAAAGCAGGCTATTAGGAGGCTTGAAGGCTGGCACAGCTCAGCAGAGGGCTGGGAGGCCATGGCAAGAATTAGGACTTGATCCTATAGGCGATAAGATTTGATCTTATAGGCAATGAGATTTGAGTGACTGGCTGTGATTTTTTTCTTTCTTTTTCTTTTTTTTCCTTTTTTTTTTTTTTTTTTTGTTATTTTTTGTGTTTTAGAGACAGGGTCCTACTCTGTTGCCCAGGCTGGAGTGCAGTGATGCAAACATAGTTCATGGCAGACTCTAATTCTTGGGCTCGAGCAATCCTCCTGCTTTAGCCTCCTGAGTAGCTGGGACTAGACATGCACCAGCATGTCCGACTTAATTTTCAATTTTTTTTTGTAGAGATGGGGTCTAGCTAAATTGCCCAGGTATGTTTTGAACTCCTGGGCTCAAGCAATCCTCCCCCTTTGGCTTCCCACATTGCTGGGATTACAGGCATGCCATTATGTTCGGTTTGGCTGTGAATTTTTAAAATTTTATTCTGGCTGATGCAAGAAGACTATAATGAGGAAAACAAGAGTAGCTGCAGATGAAGATAGAGATTAGACTGGTGGTTGCCAGAGGATAGGAAGTGCACGAAGAAAGGGAGGGATGAAAAGAAGTTGATTAATGGGTACAAGCATATGGTTCGATAGAAGAAATAAGACCGAGTGTTTGATAGATTCGTAGGGTGACTATAGTTTACAATAATCTATTGCATATTTCAAAATAGCTGGAAGAAAATAATTAGCATAATTTCAGCATAAAGAAAAGACAAATATTTAAGGTCATGGATATCTGAGGTACACTGATCTGATCTTTACACATTATATGAGTGCATTACATTATCACACGTGCCTTGAAACTATGTACATCCATTATGCATCAATTTTTTTTTTTTGAGATGGAGTCTCACTCTGTTGCCCAGGCTGGAGTGCAGTGGCACAGTCTCAGTTCACTGCAGGCTCTGTTTCCTGGGGTCAAGTGCTTCTCCTGCCTCAGCCTCCTGAGTAGCTGGGATTACAGGCACCTGCCACCACCCTCAGCTAATTTTTGTATTTTTTAGTAGAGATGGGGTTTCACTATGTTGGCCAGGCTGCTCGAACTCCTGACCTCAGATGGTCCACCTGCCTCGGCCTCCCAAAGTGCTGGGATTACAGGCATGAGCCACTGCACCCAGCTCATTATGCATCAATTTTAAAAGACAAAGAAAAATAAAGAGAGGTGCAGAGGTGCCAGTGAGAAGGGGCTCATGGGAGCTCCGTGCACAGAGAAACTTGGAAATGCTCCAAAGAGAACAGATTCCAGGGATGCACATAGGGCACAGCCTGAGCTGAGGCGTGCAGATAATCTGAGGTCAGGAGTTCAAGACCAGCCTGACCAACATGGTGAAACCCCATCTCTACTAAAAATATCAAAATTAGCTGGGCGTGACAGCACAAGCCTGTAGTCCCAACTACTTGGAAGGCTGAGGAAGGAGAATTACTTGAACCCAGGAGGCAGAAGTTGCAGTGATCCGGGATCATGCCACTGCACTTCAGCCTGGGCAACAAAGCGAGTCTCTGTCTCAAAAAAAAAAAAAGAAAAAGACACAGCCTTAGGCTGGACTTAGTGGCTCATGCTTGTAATCCTAACACTCTGGGAGTCCAAGGTGGGTGGATCACTTGAGGTCAGGAGTTCAAGACCAGCATAGGCAACATAGTTAGATCCTGTTATTACAAAAAAATACAAAAAAAAAAAAAAAATTAGCTAAGTGTGGTGGCACACACCTGTAGTCCCAGCTACTTTGGAGGCTAAGACAGGAGGATCACTTGAGACCAGGAGGCAGAGGTGCACCGAGGTGAGCTGAGGTCGCACCACTGCACTCCAGCCTGGGCTACAGACTGAGACCTGGTCTCAAAAACAAACAAACAAACAAACAAAACAAGCTGAATGAGCAGTTCCAGTTGATCTGTGATAGTGTAGACACCACAAATGATCTCTGAAGAGGGAAAAGCAAAGCCATCTGCGTGGAGAGAGATGGAAAATGAATCACCAGGTCCCAGGTTAGGGAATAACGGAGGCCCTGGTGAGTGTTTAGGCCTCACATCCCCCTACACTTGACCCTCACTTTGCTGCTTCCTCCATCCTTAAATCTTCCTCTTTGTTCTCTTCAGTTCCTTGCCCAGGATGACCTAGAGATCAAAGCCAGTGGCAACGGGAGAGGCACCATCTCGGTAGGTTTTGTATTCAACTGTATTAGTCTGTTCAGGCTGCTACAGCAAAATAGACTGGGTGGCTTATAAACAACAGAAATTGGCCCAGCATGGTGGCTCATGCCTGCAATCCCAGCATTTTGAGAGGCCCAGGCAGGAGAATCGCTTGAGTCCAGGAGTTCAAGATGCACTGGGGCAACAGAGTGAGACTCTGTCTCTACAAAAAATTGAAAAATTAGCTGGGCATGGTGGCACATGTCTATAGTCACAGCTACTCGAGAGGCTGAGGTGGAAGGATTGCTTGAGCCCAGGAGGGAGAAGTTGCAGTGAGTCGTGATCAAGACTTTGCATTCTCCCCTAAATGATAAAGAAAGATTCTATCTCAAAGGAAGGAAGGAAGAGAAAGAGAAGAAAGAAAAGAAAGGAAAGCAAGAAAGCAAGAAAGAAAGGCCAGGTGCAGTGGCTTGACTGGGCACGGTGGCTCACGCCTGTAATCCCAGCAGTTTGCGAGGCCGAAGGGGGAGGATCACCTAAGGTCAGGAGTTCGAGACTAGCCTGGTCAATGTGGTGAAACCCTGTCTCTATAAAAATTACGAAAGGTAACCAAGCATGGTAGAGGGCACCTGTAGTACCAGCTACTCAGGAGGCTGAGGCAGGAGAATCAGTTGAACACAGGAGGCAGAGGTTGCAGTGAGCCAAGATTGAGCCATTGCACCCCAGTCTGGGTGACCAGAGCAAAACTCTGTCAGAAAGAAAGAAGAAAGCAAAGAAAGAAAAAGAGAGAGAGGAGGAGGAGGAGGAGAAGGAGAAGAAGAAGAAGGAGGAGGAGGAGGAGGAAGAAGGAAGGAAGGAAGGAAGGAAGGAAGGAAGGAAGGAAGAAAGACAGACAAGTAAGAAAGGGGAAAGAGAGAGAGAGAGAGAAATTTATCGCTCACAGTTCTGGAAGATGGGAAGTCCAATATCAAGGCAAGGTACACTCTCTGTTTCAGGCCGGGCATGGTGGCTCACGCCTGTAATCCCATCACTTTGGGAGGCCAAGGCAGGCAGATCACAAGATCAGGAGATCGAGACCATTCTGGCTAACAGGGTGAAACCCCGTCTCTACTAAAAATACAAAAAATTAGCCAGGCGTGGCAGTGTGGACCTATATTCCCAGCTGCTGGGGAGACTGAGGCAGGAGAATGGTGTGAACCTGGGAGGCGGAGCTTGCACTAAGCCGAGATCACGCCACTGCACTCCAGCCTGGGCGACAGAGCAAGACTCTGTGTCTAAATAAATAAATAAATAAATAAATAAATAAAATATTATACTAATATTATTATTTATTTATAACCTAAATAAATAAATATAGGCCAGTCGGTGTGATTCATGCCTGCAATCCCAGCACTTTGGGAGGCTGAGTGCTGGGATGACGTCCATGATTTTTTTTTTTTTTTGAGATGGAGACCAGGCTGGTCTCAAACTCCTGACCTGAAGTAATCTGACCGCCTTGGCCTCCCAAAGTGCTGGGATTACAGGCATGAGCCACCATGCCCAGCCTGACATCCATGACCTCTTCCAGCCCCATGACATATGTCTGGGGCTGTAATCCCAGCAGTTCGGGACATATGACAGCTCTTTTGTTCACCAAAAGGTAGTCTGGTGTTGTGTTCCAGACAGTGGAGTCATGGCTGAATCTCTGCCTTTGTTATGTACCTTTGTTATGTGACCCTGAGCAAGTCATACCTTTCTTCAAGCCTCTGTGAATGGGTTAAAATTAAATAAAATTCAAAATTCAGTTTCTCCATCGAACTAGCCACATTTCAAATGTTCGGTAGCCACATGTGGCTAACGGCTGCCACATTGGACAATGCCAAATGGGACCATTTCCGTTACTGCATAAAGTTCTTTTACACAGAGCTGGTCTAGACTCCAGACACGGCTCTGGCCACTGCACCTAGGAATTGATGGGGTCAGGGGAGGGGGCAATCTTGCAGTAAATTCCCCACATGGCCAGAGACTTGGGAAGTCAAGGATTGGGGTGCAGAGGAAAGGCAGTGGGTGGGGAAGGGCTCTGACAGCCCCGTTTCCTGGCCCGGCAGATCCTGACCATGTACCACAAGTCTCCAGAGTCCTGGGAGGACAACTGCAACCTGTACCACCTGAATGTGACTCTCCACAGTGTCTTAGAAGGTAAACCTGGTGTGGCTACAGGACGAGCAAGGGTAGAGTTTTAGGAGAAGAAGTTGGAAAGGTGATGGGGGAAGATGGTGTAGGGACTTGTTAGCCACACTGAGGACTTTGGCTTTTGTTCTGAATAAGGTGGGGCATGGAAGGTTCCAAACAGAGGAGGGACGTGACCTAGCACAGGTTTGCACAGGCTCCCTCTGATCTGACCACTCTAGAAGGTGAGGGTGGGAGCCAGGTGACCAGGAAGGACGTGACTGCATTGGTCCTGCAGGAGATGACGGAGGCCGAGCCAGATTAGGGACTCTGGAGAGTATCAGATATTAGTGGGCCAGGCACAGTGGCTCATGCCTGCTATTCCAACACTTTGGGAGGCTGAGGCAGGAGGATCGCTTGAGCTCAGGAATTCAAGCTCAGGAATTCACTATGCTACCAGCCCAGGTAGCATAGTGAGACCCCATCTCTACAAAAAATTAGCTGGGCATGGTGATGCATGCCTGTGGTTCCAGCTACTCAGGAAGTTGAGGTGGGAAGATCACTTGAGCCCAGGAGGTGGAGGCTGCAGTGAACCATGATTGCACCATTGCACTCTAGCCTGGGCAACAGAGTGAGACCCTCTTTCAAAAGAAAAAAAAAAGCCGGGCGCGGTGGCTCAAGCCTGTAATCCCAGCACTTTGGGAGGCCGAGACGGGCGGATCACGAGGTCAGGAGATCGAGACCATCCTGGCTAATATGGTGAAACCCCGTCTCTACTAAAAAAATACAAAAAACTAGCTGGGTGAGGTGGCGGGTGCCTGTAGTCCCAGCTACTCGGGAGGCTGAGGCAGGAGAATGGCGTAAACCCGGGAGGCGGAGCTTGCAGTGAGCTGAGATACGGCCACTGCACTCCAGCCTGGGCGACAAAGCGAGACTCCGTCTCAAAAAAAAAACAAAACAAAAACAAAAGAAAAAAAAAAAACAGAGAAATAGTTGGATTCCACAGTTCCCAGCCTGGGGCACCAAGAAGGAGAGAGGACTGGGAGCTCACTGTGGGAGTAAGAGGAACAACCCTCACCAGTCCCATGAATTTTAGGGACTAAACATCGCCAAGGTTTTGGTTTTTGCTTGATTTCTTAATAATAATAACAATAATAATAATAGTTACAAAGCACCGATCAGGCACCATGCTGAAGACTTTACTTGTATTAACTTATTTAATCCTCACAACAACCCTGTTGGGTTGGGAATATTATGATCCCCCCTTATGGATGAGTAAACCGAAGCACAGAGAAGTTAAGCAACTTGCTCAAAGTCACACAGCAGAGGCAGGATTTGAATCCAAGAAGTTGACTCCAGAGACTGTGCACTTGGTCACTGTGCTCCCCAGCCTCTAAACTGCTGCCTTCTCTCTGCAGAAAATAAAAAGGGAGACGAGACCTTTCGGCTCAGGATGGAAACAAGGTCAGGGCACCAGGATCTTGAACTGGGCGGGAGGAAGCTCTCACTTTCTGGTAGCCAGATTCCTTAGCGGCCTTCCTTGTGTACCGAGTGGACAGTGGGAACCAGCCAAGCTTGCCTCTCCATGTCTGTCCCCCATTCTGTCCCTGCCTCCTGCCATGTCTGCATGTCCTCAGATGACCGACAGGCTCTACCTCAGCTGACATGCTCCGTGACTCAGATGCCCGGAGCTGGCTCCAAGCCCTGAAGCTCTCCCCGTGGTTCTCATTTTCTCCAGACACCCCAGCCCCCACCCCAGTCCTGCCCTGTCCATACCTTCCTTGCCCAAGTTTGCTTCAGATAGAAACATTATTGGGCACCTACTCTGTGCCAGGCCCTGTTCTTGGAGCCAGGGACCCAGCTATGAGCAAGGCAGCCTCTCCCTGCCCTGGCGAAGCCCACAGTCTATCAGGAGAGACAGACAATCATCAGACTATCATACAGAACCAATATGAAATGGCAAATGTGATTTCATGTGGCAAAGGAGAGGTTCACAGAGCCATGGGAGGCAAATCAGAGAACGATCTGGGCCTGGCGCGGTGGCTCGTGCCTGTAATCCCAGCACTTTGGGAAGCCGAGAGGATCACTTGACCCCAGGAGTTTGAGGCCAGCCAGGGCAACACAGCAGGACTTCATCTCTTAAAAATAAATAAATAAATAATAAAAATTAAAAAATTAGCTAGGGGTGGGGGTGCATGTCTATAGTCTCAGCTACTCATGAGCCTGAGACAGGAAGATCACTTGAGCCCAGGAAGCTGAGGCTACAGTGAGCCATGATTGAACCACTGTGCTCCAGCCTGGGTGACCCTGTCTCAAAAAAAAAAAAAAAAGGAATGGTCTGGGGGGTGGGGTGTAGGGTGGGTAAGGCTTCCCAGAGGGAAGATACATCCCAGAGGGAGTGATACATCAGCTGAGATGGAAAACATGAGAGGTATTTCAGGATGAAGAGGCAGGAGCGGAGATTCCAGGCCGAGTGAACAGCATGTGCAAAGGCCTGATGGCAAGAGAGGGAACGAGGCTAACCGTGATCAAATGGAGGCTGAGGTGGGAGGAGGTGACGTGGAAGGGTGTCAGGATTGAGGCAAGGCATTTGGTCATTGAAGCAAGGAGGCGAGGTAGTCAGATTTCTGCTTGCTAAAGCTCTGTGTTGTGAGTGGCAAAGGGGACATGGGGAGACCTGGGAGGAGGTTACTGCACTGGTCCAACCCAGAGACAATAGCAGTGGGGAGGATGGAGAGAGAGACGTGAGGACAGTGGGGGAAGACTGGGGCTGTGAACTTCCAGGTTCCAGAACAATCGAGAGGCCACAATGACCATCATGGAGGTCTCCCTGCTCACTGGCTTCTACCCCAACCAGGATGACCTCAAACAGGTAACGCAGACCCCACCTTCAGGCTTCCTGAGCAACCTTTCCATACTTCCCACATGGGTGCAGGGCAGTGTCTACTGAAATCAAAGTTCCTGGGTTAATGCCCCATTGTCACTTCTGGATGACTCCCTGCATGGCCTCAACCAAATCTTTTCCCTGCTTGGGCCTCAGTTTCCTCTACCGTGAGGTTGACTGGACAAAGGCTGGAGCTCTAGGGCTAGGGGCCTTGGAGGCTGTCAGCCACCCTCCAGTCTCCACCCTCTGCCCCAGCTCACAAGTGATGTGGAGAGGTACGCCTTTCAGTACGAAACCAAGACAAGTACCAGCGACAGCACCGTTGTCCTCTACCTGGAAAAGGTGAGAGGGGCTGGGTGCCCTCTGCCAGAGATGTGTGGGCACCCCGGGGGCTGGAGAACCCAAGGTTGGTCCCCTGCGTGGGTTTTGCAGAGAGCCAGGCCCTCTGAGGTCAGCTCCTCCGGTTGCGATTCCTGTGGTCAAGGTCACATGGCCCGTGGTCATGGCCAATGCCAATAGCCAAGGCCTCGTAGTCAGTGCTTCGAGGTCAGTGCCCCACGGTCAGTGGCCCTGGCCGCCTCAGACAGGACTCTGTTCTCTCCAGCTCTCCCATGAGAAAAACACAGTGCTGGGCTTTCGGGTTCACAGGATGCTGCAGGCGGAGTTCCTGCAGGCCGCCCTGGTCACTATCTACGACTATTACGAGCCTTGTAAGGAGGGGCCCCGTGCATGGGGATGAGGCCTGCAAAGCACAGGGCCAGGTGCCAGGCGATGAGAGACTGGGAACTGCCAAAAGGGGGCTGGGTCTGGGTGGACATAAGAGGCACGGTCTTATTGGAGTGACCTTCGTGGGCGGGGACAGGAAGGAGATGGGGCAAAGTTGAAAGGGGACTGGGCGTGGCCTGCTGGGAATGGGTGGGGAAAGGCAGGCTCTTTTGAGTGGGCGTGGCCTGTCCACAGAGGTGGCTGGCCAGGGCCCTTCAAAGTGAGGTTTGCAGTGGGCAGGGCCAGGAAGAGGGGAAGGTCTGGGAGGACCTTGGAGGACCTGGAAGGCACAGCCCAGTGACAAGGAGAGGCAGGAGGGAGCCTGGACTTTGGAGGATGGGGAAGACAAGGCCAGGGCCCGGAGCAGGTGAAGACCAGGCCAGGTAGGCACTGAACCCCCAGGAAAACTGGCCCAAGACAACGCACCCCCCTCAACCCCTGCACCCTCCATCCACAGCCCGGAGGTGCAGCACTTTCTACAACCTGCCTACAGAGCAATCTTCCCTGCGAAAGGTCTGCCACAAAGACGTCTGCAGATGTGCAGAGGGTGAGATGTGCCGAGGGTGAGCCCCAGGCTGCCAGGTTGTCTTCAAGCCTCCTCCTGGCTATAGTCTGGCCTGAGTTTAGACAGAAAGAGAAAGAGACAAAGAGAGACAGAAAGAAGGCACAGAGAGACAAAGCTTGTCACACACACTCGCACTGCCAAGGATCCAATGACATGGAGACAGAGAGAAAGACACAAAGAGACGAAGACAGGAGAAATAGACAAGAAAGTGACCAAAAAGAGAGACAGACGCTGGGCATGGTGGCTTATGCCTGTAATCCCAGCACTTTGGGAGAGGATGGCTTGAGGCCAGGAGTTCCAGATCAGCCTGGGCAACAGAGTGAGACCCCAGCTCTACCAAAAAAAAAAAAAAAAAAATTAGCCAGGAGTGGTGGTAAGTACCTGTAGCCCCAGCTACTTGGGCAGCTGAGGCAAGATAGTCACTTAAGCCCAGCAGTTGGAGGCTGTAGTGAGCTATGCTTGTGCCACTGCACTCCGACCAGGGTGGTAAAACAAGACCTTCTCTCAAAAACAAATTTTATTTTTTTTATTTATTTTTTTTTTTGAGACGGAGTCTTGCTCTGTCGCCCGGGCTGGAGTGCAGTGGCCGGATCTCAGCTCACTGCAAGCTCCGCCTCCCGGGTTTACGCCATTCTGCCTCAGCCTCCCGAGTAGCGGGGACTACAGGCGCCCGCCACCTCGCCCGGCTAGTTTTTTGTGTTTTTAGTAGAGACGGGGTTTCACCGTGTTAGCCAGGATGGTCTCGATCTCCTGACCTCGTGATCCGCCCGTCTCGGCCTCCCAAAGTGCTGGGATTACAAATTTTATTTTTATAAAATAAAATTATTTTATGAAATATAAAGCTCAGTGGCTTACACCTGTAATCCCAGCATTTTGGGAGCCAAGGTGGGTGGATCACTTGAGGTCAGGAGTTCAAGACCCGCCTGGTCAACATGGTGAAATTCCATCTCTACTGAAAATACAAAAATTAGCTAAGCGTTGTGGTGCATGTCTGTAGTCCCAGCTACTTGGGAGACCGAGGCATGAGAATCGCTTGAACCTGGGAGGTGGAGGTTGCAGTGAGCTGAGATCATACCACTGCATTCCAGCCTGGGCAACAGAGCGAGACTCTGTCTCAAATAAATAAATAAATAAATAGACCAAGTATGATGGCTCACACCTGCTGTCCCAACACTTTGGGAGGCCAAGGTGAGAGGATTGCTTCGGCCTAGGAATTTGAGACCAGTCGGGGCAACATAGTGAGACTCTTCATCTCTTAAAAAATAATAATAATGAGAGCGAGAGAAGGAAAAGAAAGGAAGGAGGAAGGAAAAAGAAAAAGAGAGAGACAGAGAGAGCGCCCCACAGACTAGAAGGGCCAGATCCAGAGACCCAGGCCTGGGGGCTGAAGGGAGGGAGGGTGGGGGGTTAATGGGAGGAAGTCCCCTGTCCCAGTGCAGCCAGAGCAGCCGCCCACCTGATCCTGCAGGACAGTGCCCATCCCTGCAGAAGCCCAGTGGCCAACTGAGGCAGGAGGAGCTCCAGACAACAGCATGTGAGGCAGGCGTGGATTTTGGTGAGTGTGGGGAGCCGCAGGGGACAGGCAGAGCCCACTTGCAGGCCGAATGCCAACACGGCGCCCTTCTGCCCTCCGCCTTCCCCAGTGTACAAGACAAAGCTGGAATCTGTGGAGGTCTCTGCCTCCAACCCTTATGTCTATTACAACATGCAGCTCGAAGACATCATTAAGAGTGGTATGTCCTAGGTGACAAAGGAAGAATCCCAGTGTGGGGTCACCCTGTGGGCCTACCCTGGGGGTCCCATTGTGTGGGAGGGTCAGACTTATGTATGCGCACACACTGGGTTTTCTCCAGGCACAGATCCTGCCACACCCCTTGCCATGAAGAAATTCATCTCCCACGCCACCTGCCACGACTCCCTGGGGTTGCAAGAACAGGAATCGTACCTTATCATGGGCCAGACATCAGACCTGTGGAGAATCAAATCTGAGTGCGTGAGGGGCTCCACCTGTCTTGGGAACTCAAGCCTGGGCCTTCTTCCTTACCTTCAACCCAGCCCTCAGTTCCACAATTTTTGCTGGAGGTTCCAAGTGATTCTCCTGCCTCAGCCTCCCAAGTAGTAGCTGGGACTACAGGCGTGCGCTACCACGCCTGACTAGTTTTTGTATTTTTAGTAGAGACGGTGTTTCATCATGTTGGCCAGGCTGGTCTCAAACTCCTGGCCTCAAGTGATCCGCCCACCTCAGCCTCCCAAAATCCTGGGGTTACGGCCATGAGCCACTGCACCCAGCCAGGGAAGCATTTACTAATTCCCAGTGATTTGGACTAAGAGGGTGGAAGACCAGAGAGGGCCTTCGGGCGTGGACACTATAGGCTAAGGCTCTGGCAGGCTGTCAGGCAGGGCAGGGCAGGGAGGTTGCCATATCCCCAGGGTCACCAGGCCCTCCTCACCTTCTTGCTTCTTGTAACCCACAGTTACAGCTACGTTCTGGGCAGGGAGACGTTCCTCATGCTTTGGCCAGCAGATGGAGATGCCAGCAAGAAAGAATTGCGGAAGCAACTGGACGAATTTTCGGAATATATGCGCACCCATGGCTGCGAGTCCTGAGCCTCCTCTGCTTTCAGGGAGGTGTCACCAGGCAGCTCTGGGCCACTGGGTTTAACCCCAAATAAAGAGCACAGGATATCACACCCAAACCCTGGACACTTGTCCCTGTTGCACCTTTCACCAGGGGACCTGCACAACCTGCTCTGGCATGACGTGGACCTGTCTCCTCCCTCCTCCCCCGCTACTTGGGTGGCTGAGGTGGGAGGCTCACTCGAGCCCAGGAGTTGGAGGCTGTAGTGAGCTATGCTCAATACATTTGGCTCCGTTCTGACCACACTGGCCTCCTTTGCATCCTTCCAGCATCCACCTCCGTGGGGAGATGATTCCCAGCTCCAGGCTTTTGCACCCACCATTCCTCTCCCAGGTGCACCCCTCCCCCTAAAGTCGGCTTAGCTTGAATCGTTCCCTTTTCTGGGCTCTGTTTAATTGTCACCTCTGGCATGGTGGCTCATGCCTGTAATCCCAGCATTTTGGGAGGCCGAGGTGGGTGGATGTTAAATGGGTGTTTTCCCTGCCCCACAATGTCAGCTCCTTAAAGTCGGGGTTGTATCTGTCTTATTTGCTGTGGTATTCCCTGTTTTTACAGCAGGAGCTGGAACTCAGTAGGTGCTCAGGAAATGAGTGTTGACTCAGTGAATAGACGGATGGATGAATGAGTCAGTGAATAAATGGATGGCTGAGTTTGGTGCCCACATTCTGAGCTTGGCCCTAATGGTTCACTTGCTGTGTAACTTCAAGCAGCTTATAGTGATGGAAGCTTTGTTTTGGTTTTGGTTTGGTTTGGTTTGGTTTTTTGAGACAGAGTCTCGCTCTATCGCCCAGGCTGGAGTGCAGTGGTGCGATCTCAGCTCATTGCCACCTCTGCCTCCCGGGTTCAAGCAATTTTCCCGTCTCAGCCTCCTGAGGAGCTGGGACTACAGGCACCCGCCACCACGCCCGGCTAATTTTTTGTGTTTTTAGTAGAGACAAGGTTTCACCGTGTTAGCCAGGATGGTCTCGATTTCCTGACCTCGTGATCCGCCCACCTCAGCCTCCCAAAGTGCTGGGATTACAGGCGTGAGCCATCACACCCAGCCAGATTCTAGATTCTTAGATTCTTAGTACGGTTTCTTTCTTTCTTTCTTTCTTTCTTTCTTTTTTTTTTTTTTTTTTTTTTTTGACAGAGTCTCACTCTGTTGCCCAGGCCAGAGTACTGTGGTGTGATCTAGGCTCACTGCACTCTCTGTCTCCTGGGTCCAAGTGATTCTCGTGCCTCAGCCTCCCTAGTAGCTGGTATTGCAGGCATGCACCATGATGCCTGGATACTTTTTGTATTTTTGGTAGATACAGGGTTTTACCATGTTGGCCAGGCTGGTCTCAACCTCCTGACCTCAGGTGATCTGTCTGTCTTGGCCTCCCAGAGTACTGGGATTACGGGCATGACCCACTCAGCCGAGATTCTTTATCTGTGTCTTTGCTGTCTGTTTCCCCTACTGGGCTGGGAGCCCCAGGAGAGCAGGGAGGCTGCCTGTCTTAGCCACAGTTATAATCACAGACACATTCAGGGCCTGGCACATAATAGGTGCTCATTTTGCTGAATGAATGATTGAAGAAGTAAAAGAGAGGCTGGGCGCGGTGGCTCAAGCCTGTAATCCCAGCACTTTGGGAGGCCAAGGCAGGCGGATCACGAGGTCAGGAGATCGAGACCATCTTGGTGAACACGGTGAAACCCTGTCTCTACTAAAAAATACAAAAAACTAGCCGGGCGAGGTGGCAGGCGCCTGTAGTCCCAGCTACTCAGGAGGCTGAGGCAGGAGAATGGCGTGAACCCGGGAGGCGGAGCTTGCAGTGAGCTGAGATCCGGCCACTGCACTCCAGCCTGGGTGACAGAGCAAGACTCCATCTCAAAAAAAAAAAAAAAAAAAAAAGAAGCAAAAGAGAAAGGGAGTGAGAGAGAAGAAAGGGAGGGAGGGAAGGAAAGAAAGATAAAAGGATGGAGGGAGAGAGGGATGGAAGGAGGGAAGGAGGAAGAGAGGGAAGGAGGGAGAGAAGAGAAAAAGAGAAGGATAAAGGGAGGATGGGGAGGGGAAGGAAGGGAGGTGATGGGGAAGAGGGAAGGAGAAGGAAGAAAGAAGGGAAGGAAAGATGGCAGGCAAACTGGTTCATGGCCTGTTTCTGTACAGTCCTCAAGCTAAGAGTAGGGGTTTTTTTTTTGTTTTTTGTTTTTTTTTGAGACAAAGTCTTGCTCTTATCACCAAGGCTGGAGTGCAATGGGCGATCTCTGTTCACTGTAACCTCTACCTCCCAGGTTGAAGCAATTTTCCTGCCTCAGCCTCCCCAGTAGCTGCGATTACAGGTGCTCAACATCACACCCAGCTAATTTTTCTATTTTTAGTAACGACAAGGTTTCGCCATGTTGGCCAGGCTGGTCTCGAACTCCTGACCTCAGGCGATCCACCAGCCTTGCCTCCCAAAGTGCTGGAATTACAGATGTGAGCCACCACACCTGGCCTTTTAAAATATATATATTTTTTTGAGACAGAGTTTCGCTCTTGTTACCCAGGCTGGAGTGCAATGGTGCACTCACCACAACCTCTGCCTCCCAGATTCAAGCAATTCTCCTGCCTCAGCCTCCTGAGTAGCTAGGATTACAGGCATGTGCCACCACACCCAGGTAATTTTTATTTTTTTTATTTATTTTATTTTTTTTGAGACGGAGTCTTGCTCCTCGCCCAGGCTGGAGTGCAATGGCACGATCTCGGCTCACTGCAAGCTCCGTCTCCCGGGTTCCCGCCATTCTCCCGCCTCAGCCTCCCAAGTAGATGGGACTACAGGTGCCCACCACCATGCCCGGCTAATTTTTTGTATTTTTAGTAGAGATGGGGTTTCACCGTGTTAGGATGGTCTCGATCTCCTGACCTCATGATCCGCCTGCCTCAGCCTCCCAAAGTGCTGGGATTATAGGCATGAGCCACCGCGCCTGGCCAATTTTTTTGTATTTTTAGTAGAGACAGGGTTTCTCCACGTTGGTCAGGCTGGTCTCCAACTTCTGACCTCAGGTGATCTATCCTCCTTGGCTTCCCAAAGTGCTGGGATTACAGGCATGAGTCACCATGCCTGGCCTTAAAACATTTTTAAAGGATTGATTAACAACAACAACAATAGGCTGGACACGGTGGCTCCTGCCTATAAGCCCAACACTTTGGGAGAATGAGGTAGGAGGATCCCTTGAGGCCAGGAGTTCATGATCTGCCTAGGCAAGAGCCAGGCATGGCGGTGTGTGCCTGTAGTCCCAACTACTTGGGAGGCTGAGGAGGGTGGATCACGCCACTGCACTCCAGTCTGGGTAACAGAGTGAGACCTGTCTCTAAAAATAAATAAAAACAACAAAGAAGAATGTGCAACAGAGAACCTATGTGGCCTGAAAACCTAAAATACTTATTATCTGGTCCTTTACAGAAAAAAAAAAAAAATTGCCTACTCCTGAGTTAGGGCGTTTGTTATCTATTCCTATGAAACAAATAACCACAGCTGGGCGCGGTGGCTCATGCCTGTAATCCCAGCACTTTGGGAGGCCGAGGTGGGCAGATCACGAGGTCAGGAGGTTGAGACCATCCTGACTAACACGGTGAAATCCTGTCTCTACTAAAAATACAAAAAATTACGCGGGCATGGTGGCAGGCACCTGTAGTCTCAGCTACTCAGGAGCCTTAGGCAGGAGAATGGCGTGAACCCAGGAGGTGGAGCTTGCAGTGAGCCGAGATAGCACCATTGCACTCCAGCCTGGTCGACAGAGCGAGACTCTCTCAAAAAAAAAAAAACAAAAAAAAACAAAAAAACCAAATCACCTCAAAATATAGAGGCTTGAACAATAAATATTTGTTATTATAATTTCATTTCTGTGGGTTAGGAATTCACAGGCAGTGGTTTAGTTGGATAGTTTTGGCTCAGAGGCTCTCATGAGGTTGCAGTCAAGATGTCAGTGGGGGGCTGCTGTCATCCAGAGGCTTGACTGGGGCTGGAGGACCCATCTCCAAGGTAGTTCACTCATATGACTGGCAAGTTGGTGGGGACTGGTGGTGAGAGGCCTCAGGTCCATGTTATGTGAATTTCTCCATAGAGCCCTATGGAGAGGCTATGGAGAGGAAGCTGCTTGAGCTTCCTCACAATACGGGAGCTGGCTTTCCAAGACTCAATATTCCAAGAGAAAGAGCAGAGGGAGCCATAGTGCCTTTTATGACTTAGCCTCAGGAGTCACACACCATCATTTCTGCAATGTCCTATTGGTCACATAAGCCAGTATTATTCAGCATGCATGGAGACTACATAAGGCATGACTACTAGGAGGCAGGGTTCACTAGGGGAATAAATTTCAGCTGGCCGTGGTATGCAGTTCATGTAATGTGCTGCTGGATTTGGTTTGTTAACATTTTGTTGAGGATTTTTGCATTACATTCATAAGGGATATTGGTCTGTAGTTTTCTCTTCTTGTGGTATCAGTGTCTGGAATGCTGGTCCCATAGGATGTGTTAAGAAATTATTAAGAAATATTCTCGGGAGCCATGGTGGCTCAGGCCTGTTGTCCTGGCACATAAGGAGGAGAGGCTAGAAGTTCAAGGCCAACGTGGGCAACATAAAAACCTCTGATCTATATAACAAACAAACAAAATTAGCCAGCGCAGTGGCTCACACCTATCATCCCAGCACTTTGGGAGGCTGAGGCAGGCAGATCACCTGAGGTCAGGAGTTTGAGACCAGGCTGACCAACATGGAGAAACCCTGTCTCTACTTAAAAAAAAAAAAAAAAAAAAATTAGCCAGGCGTGGTAGCGCATGCCTGTAATTCCAGCTACTGGGGAGGCTGAGGCAGGAGAATCCCTTGAACTCCGGAGGCAGGGGTTGGAATGAGCCGAGATCGTGCCATTGCACTCCCACCTGGGCAACAACAGCGAAATTCTGTCTCAAAAAAAAAAAAAAAAAAAAAAAGAAAAAGAAAAGAAAAAGAAAGAAAGAAAGATTTTCTCCTCCTCCTGAGCATGATGGCTCACACCTGTAGTCACAGCACTTTGGGAGGCTGAGTCAGACAAATCGCTTGAGCCCAAGAGTTCCAAACCAGCCTGGGCAACATGGAAAAACCCTGTGTCTACCAAAAAATACAACTAGCCAGGCTTGGTGGTATGTGCTTGTAGTCCTAGCTACTTTGGAGGCTGAGATGGGAGGATGGATTGAACATGGAAGGTTGAGGCTGCAGTGAGCTCTGATCACACCACTGCATTCCAGCTTGAGTGACAGTGAGACCCTGTCTTAAAAAAAAAAAAAAAAAAAATTCCCTCTTCCAGTCTGGGCAACACAGCATGACCCTGTCTCAAATTTAAAATTAAAAAAATATTAGCTGGGTGCAGTGGCTTACCCCTGTCATCCCAGCACTTTGGGAGGCTGAGGAGGGCAGATCACCTGAGGTCGGGAGTTCGAGACCAGCCTGACCAACATGGAGAGACACCCCCCACCCCCGCCGTCTCTACTAAAAATACAAAATTAACCAGGCATGGTGGCACAGGCCTGTAATCTCACCTACTTCGGAGGCTGAGGCAGGAGAATCGCTTGAACCTGGGAGGTGGAGGTTGTGGTGAGCTGAGATCCCGCCATTGCACTCCAGCCTGGGCAACAAGAGTGAAAGTCCGTCTCAAAAAAGAAAAGAAAAGAAAAAAGCTGCGCATGGTAGCATACACCAGTAGTCCCAACTACTCAGGAGGCTGAAGTGGGTGGACTCCTTGAGCCCAGGAGACAGAAGCAGCTGCAATGAGCTATGAC